TATGTACTGATTTGTAGAAAAGATGATTAAATCAAGAGATATTTATAAAAATCCAGTATGGACAGGTCAGTATCTTAGCTATCATAGCTACTATCTAGTTCAATACAAAGGTTTGATTAAGTGCCTACTCAAAAGGATTAACCGTATCTGTACAGTTGATACTATTAAAGACAACGTGAAGCTGCTAAACGAAAGATTGATGAAGAGTGAATACACACTAAAAGTCATAAATTGATGGAAGAACCAGTGAGTTGATATCTACTATTACTCTGCCGTATGAAAAATCTATCTACATCACTCTATCAGTCAGAGGTGAATCAAATAGCTTATGTAGAGATGCAGACTTGGGTCGATTCACAATATAACATACTATACAGTCAGAGTCATAAATACTGAAAAACTGTCCATGCTTTTTACCACAAGAAAAACATCATGTAAGAGATTGAGTCACACGCCACTATGTTTAATAACTTACATTTGTATGTGAAAACGGATTTAGAAGGAGGAGTAATCGTGATTTGCAAGTTAGGGTGGCTGAACATGTACAAAATGGCCCCAAAGTCAAATTAATCAAAATGACCCTGTGTGAGCTGATAACAAGCACTCATCTCTCATTGTCAAACATAGTTGAAAAAGCCATAAGACTGATCTTAACTCAACCTTTGTAGTTATCTATGGAGAATACGTAAGCAAATTGAAGTCTTAGATATACGAAAGCTTACTTCACTCTGTGTCTGAAACCAATTTGTACTTACACCACCCAGGTAACATCGGTTTACTAATCAAAGTGAAATGACTCATACTATTATTATCTCTTTTTGAAACCAAATTAATGCGTCATCAGTTTATTCGAAATGTATTGGGCTAGGATACCAAATATTTCTGATAAGGCTCGTCTTCTCATTGTATTATCTAAATTCATCAAAGGAACTAACTGTTTTTAACAACTTTAAGTTGGAACTACATTAAAAGCTGAAAGAAATATTGATCACTTTAAAAAATTTCATGTTCTGTTTAAAGGCGGATGAGTATTTATATTTCAGCGTGAGAACGGATGTTGCTGATATAATAATATGGTTGTCAGTTAAACTCGACCTACTGAGTAATTAAAAATACATTGTGTGAAAGACCCACATTTATTTGATGTTAGACAATTTGACTGATAGAGGTAGTTGAATAATATTGTCCGACCTGCCATTTTTAAAAAAAAAATTTTCCATCCCCAAATTACAATATTTTTCATCCCGTGTTTCGTCCAATGAAATGGCTAGTTTCAAAAATTAGATTTCATTGGTTAGTTATGTCTTGAAAATTGTTATAAATTATCCGTACTTGTCTTTTTCACTACCTTATTTCCGGTTGCGTTTCCATCGGTTGAAGCGTTAAAGACCACTATCACAAATTTTGAAAGATCGACTTACAGTCATTATGTAGTGAGAGATTCACATATTGGCAGAGATCAAAAATCGTACATTAAATTTGTGTGTTGGCGAAATGGGCGTATAAGATCTAGCGGTTCTTCACAACGTATTAGACGGAGGAGGTAATTTGGTAAATGGTAAATGAACACCCAATGTCCGGCCTTCATGTTTTGTAAGGTTATAGACGGTTATTGGACTGTTGTACGTGGGAATGTGCATTACAATCACGAGTGCAATTCCCTGAGGTACCAAGGTAATTCATGGGTGCGCAGGTTAACGGATGGGGAGTTTGAAACTGTGAGACCGCTGCTGATTTCCGGTACCGCTGCATTCCACATAAAGAATTTTGCTTACCAATCTTATGGGAAATGTCTGACTGATCAAGATGTCTGTAATATGCGGTACAAAGTGTTCTCACACGCGAACCTTCCTGGTACGCAATTTGCCAATTTATAATGTACACTATAGGTGATTACGGGAAATTGAAAGCTCACATAACATCCTTGGGTGGGCTTTGCGAATACGAATTGGACGATGAGAACTGTCTATCGTATTTCTTTTTCATGACTGCTGAGCAACCGAATTTGGCCGGTCACTTTTGTGACGTAATTGGTTTTGACGGGACGTACAAAACGAATAACGAGAACGTCGATTTATATCAAGTCGTTGCCCTGGATATGAATTTTAAGGTAATACCCATGTGCATTGCCTTTTTAAGTCGCGAAACGTCAACATTCATTTCTGCATTCCTGCGTTTTTTCCAACGGTGTACCAACAGTCGACAGCTGGTAGGCATTGTGACCGATAATTCACCTGCAATTGCTGCTGCTATTACGCAGGTGTATCCGGATGCACACCATATTCTGTGTCGCGTACACCTTGTTCGGAATGTGATAAAGAGGGTAAGTGTTCCGTTTATACAACGAGGAACTGTTGATTTGGATGAAACGCTCAGTAACGATGATGAGGAAGTAATTTCTATTAACTCCGAAGAGTTAACTGAACGGGACATCAAAAATGAAGAAGAGGATGACGAGAATCGACCCTGCAACATCTGTAATCTTGCGCAGCCTCCGTGTGAAACTGGTGATGCGGTTGGTTGGGTTTTCTGCAGATGTGAAGCAATGTTTCATACCTTCTGTGCCTACGACCCATCGCCGAACGTACGAGCAGTGCACTGTCCTCTCTGTGGCGCCATTACAAACTAGTAAAGACGACGTCCAACCGCGAGAACGAGTAAAGGCCCTTTTCAGGGCCACCCACAATTTGATTTCCACTATTTTTTATCCACTACTTTTCCGCGGCAAAGGTCAAGTGATTAAGCACTTATTAATGTCCCATGAATTTAGATATCCCTTAGAGATTAATAATGGAAAAGCGATTATCGTTCGTCTATTCGTAAACTTGTTTCTAATGTATATTATATATAAAGATTAAGAAAACTTAAACAAGATTTTGTCATCTAATGAAGACTAATCTAGTAATTTTATATTTAAAATATTGTGAATACTGTTCATGTTTTAGTAACACATTTGGTAAACTATCTAACAATAGTACATTTTAGTCAATTTTAATAGGAATATTGCAATATAGTGAAAATTATAATTTGATCGTTAGGTCAATAAGTTTATGAGAACATTTACGAAGATAAATGTGATTCAAGCTCATAGAGAAGTAAATACAATGAAGAAAATTAACTTATTTAGGAATAAAATAATGACAGTATAAAACAAGTTGAAACCATCATCGTTGAAATGATTCATGTGATAAAAGGTCATATAGTAAGTGTAAAAAGAAATAAGACTATTAGCTGTTTCATGAATACAAAAAACAAGAATTTCATATTCTTGTTTTATATTAAAAGTTCCTGAAACCAGAACTATGCGTACGTAAGAAGTACGTCTGATCGTCAACTGCGCCTTCATTGTTATTCATAACTACTGATTATATCAACGTATTCATTTGCACAGTTATATAACCATTAATAAAAATTCTCATAGAATATTCAAAAATAAAAAATAATGTAGCGAACAATCGTTTTCATTAACTTTATCATTACACTATACAGTTATAAGCCCATAATTTTTCTATTTTATAAGGCATGTCATTAATGAATTAGACAATGTAATGTGTTAACAATGGTGAACGTTTACATCTGTTACGGTATATATATTTATATATATACTTACAAATTGTAATATTTTCTAATTAGAAATGTCATTCAATAAAGGTCGGGATTATTTGCAGTAAAGTGTTCAGTCACAATAAGTGGAAGAAGCAATCAGTAATTTATCATGATGATTTATAGATATGTTGATTTATTTCTCCGATTAACAGACCATGTGTTATAAAAAAACCTATGCACACACTTTCGTGATAGTTTGTTTATTAATTGGTTATTCAACTTTAGACTACCGACCTCATTCAGTAATCACTATTATCAAATATTCAAACCGATTTTCAGTTCCTTTTTCACTCAACTTTCTTTTAATTAGATACATATAATTATTTGTGTTAAGATAACTAACGACTTCAATTCAAGGTATACTTGATCGGAAAACAAAAATTGATCCCAATACACATTCACTAACAGTAGGATTGCACGGTAATGCAATTAAGTTGGCGTCTTTTTCTTCAAAAGTATAAATTTTTTTCAAGACTAAGATTACACAAAAAGAATTATTCATTATAATTAAATTTCAAATGTAAAAAATGAAAATTCTGACATCCAATCACAGCACTTGATGCTATTTCAATTTCAACTAATCAGATTATAAAGATGAACAGTTTACGACCAATTACAACATTATTAAAGGTAACAAAATGTTTGTTCATTATCAATTGAGCACACACTTGCAAAACAAGTCCACCAATCAACGATACCTGAATTTTTCATTCACACCCCACACCCCACCCCATAATATGCAGTCTACAATTTCGTTTAGTTTACACACTTCATACATGTGCAAATCCACAATCCGATCAATGATATTAGAAAAACAGTTTTCTGACTAAATAAGAGAATGATTCAGCCAATTGGAATAAAATTAACTGATAAGAATTATTTAGAGGAAAATGTTAGGACTTAATAACTTTCTCATCTATCCTGACAGAATCTACCCTGGTAAATAGTCACTCATTAACTAATAGGCTGAAAACACCATTGAAATATTTTTTTGATATTTCGAAGTTTCAGACTTAACGTATAATACAGAAGTGACCAGTTACAGAATTCCTAGATTTGAATCAATGCCAAGTATATAATCAACTTTATATTAGTATGCCGGTTATTCATTTTGAACTAAAAATGTTCAAAATTACTGCTCTATTCGTAGGTTAATTTTATTTTAATTATAAGCAATCTTTCATTGTGAAAACTGTCAGCAAAGTTCAAAAGTTTGTCCGTTGTAATTCAATTTTTCATCTGGCGTTACGATATCTACATTAATTTTCAGGTCACTTAATACATTTTGTCACCATAATTGCGAGGGAGATGAATATTTCTGTCTGAATAAACTAACTTATGCTATCAATTCAATAAATATCTTTAACAGTTAAACAAATCAATGTGAAACTCACCATCTTGATCTAGTATTCGAAATAATTCTTCAAAATCATGATCTAATTTCTTCTTGTATATTCGTTCAACAACAAAAGCGCACAGTTCTGAAAAATCTAATTTCCCATCTCCTATAATATGTATGTATTTGTAGTAATATGATTTTTCAGGTTTAAGGAAAATACATACGATCAACATCTAACTCAAAGATCAAATCTTGTAGTTCAGCTTCTGTTAATGCATCCCCTAATGCTCTCATAACGAGCAGTATATCACCAGCCGTAATAACATTTTTATGACGTTGAGCTAATATAGAGAAAATGCTAGATAACCCTTAAAGTAAACAAAACGACAGTAATGATTTTAATTCCATCTAAAGCGAAATATACTCAACATTTGTGAACTATTAATATGTTGACTTGCACTGGTCACAAGTTTACGAACCTATTCAATGAAAAGTGAACGGAAAGTTAATCTGATTCATTTATTTAAATCACGTTTAAAATTATTTATTCAAGGTAGCATATATATATATGGATATTTTATAATCTCCAGAAAACTCAGCTTTCCGTTACATTTAGGCACAAAGTTTCGATGATGCAGTATAAAGCATGGTCTTTCAAGTATGTTGGCGATCAATAACCCTGAGAAATAATGGATTAGTTGTCATATTGTGTCATTAGTAGTTCCAGATCGAAGTTTCTTTGAATAATCGTTTCTAAACTTGTGAGTTCGAATTTTTAAGACAGTATGAGCTTTCGTGATTTTGCAAATATAGCATTTCGTCAGATCATTGGGAAGGGAATAAATAGATTTCATCGTTTTGTACTAATCTCTTTCTAGTAATTAACTTCAAATATGGAACATCATTGTGCTTTGGATTCATTGCACAGACTAGTGGTAATCAGGACTCAGCAGATAAATTGATAACGCGATGACATTTGAAGCGAACGGTACTGGTGTTCGAGTCCTGGAGTGGACATCAACTTCCGGATGGTGGTACTTCCAGCTCACGAGTCCCAAATGGGACGAAACGCGCGACCTATATTTCACTGCTAGCCACCATCCATTATTATGTCCTATTAGTTAATTCGCTGATAAAGGTAAGGTCCTTGGCTAATCAATTTTACAAATCGGAGATAGACTTATTTACTATACTGTAACCAATTTTTGTTTATATCCATTTTTCAACAATGTTTTAGTTTTAATCATATTTAAAGTTTAATGATTCTACCTGTTTCTTAGAGTAAGAACCTAAAAAATGCCACATCAATTTCAGAATACGTAGTTTGTTTACTTTCAAAATATCTGATTTGTGAAGCTTTGTAGGTCAAAGGTGTCTAAACACGATGTTTGATCTGTAATCTTAGAAATAAAATAAGAATTAGTAGTGGAATATGTATAGTTTGTTTATAATACATCAAGAGTAATCAATTTTAAAATAAAAATTCTTTGTTTATAAGGGCTTGTATTTGAACTCACTAGCTCCGACGATAACGAAATAATGTTTGGAGAGATAGCTAATGAGTTCAGGTTTCAATGTGAATATCAGTATATAGGTGCAAGTAAATTCAGCTGACAGGTCCCAAGTCAAAAGAAACTTGTATCAAGTACTTTATTGTTAGCCATAATCTAATTTTTATTAAATCTCATTTTTATTTCATCACTTCATAGTGGAATTCTATAGGTTTTTAGTAGATGATAACAATTTACCAAAAATTATTAAGTATTGTTCTATAGTGAAATGTTTAATAGAAATTTTATTATAATTTAATAAAATGGTTTGAATGTGCTCACGTTTTTATGTGAGTTAAGCAATTAATTCAGATTATTTTAATTATTTCTTTCAATAAAATAAACTCATATCATATGGATTGGAGTCATATACATTTATTAGTAAAAAAATCACTATAAATGAATGAATATTGGTCATATTATTATTACTGTTATTATTATTAATTATTATTATTATTATTATTATTATTATTAATTATTATTATTATTATTATTATTATTATTATTATTATTATTATTATTATTATTATTAAACTCACGGTATTCCATCTTCCACCCTTTTTATTTTCTTTTTGGTCTTCCTCTGTGCATTCTGGTTCGATTGTTTTTTTTATATGTGTTCCACCAGGTTGAAAATTCACATAATCTTCATCTTCTTGTAAAACCATGATATTGAGAAATGAACAGGATTATATAAATTCGATGTTGTGATTAAAGTAGACTTTATTTTACACAATTTAACCAACTATCTATTGTCATAGTACTATGCTGATGAATGATTGGTTAAATAATCGATTGACCTTAGTAGCCTAAGAAAGTTTTGTATACGTATGTATTAGCAACCTAGAGCAACCAGTCTTTATAAGGTGTTTATTGAAAAAATCAATCTATCCTATCTAAAGAATACAATTCTATGAAGATTCACACAACTTTATTGAATTGAAGTTATACTCTACTAATTTTTTTAAATTTCCAACATATCAATGTCCTTTAAGTAAATTTCAGAATTCGTTGGAGATTTATCCACTCTCGAACAGTCGTTTGGATAGTATTTAGAGTTGAAAAAGTGAAAGCCCATATCTTTCAAAGGTAGCCCAGTCGATCATGGTAATTATTGATGTGATATCAAGCATATGAGAGAATAAGTGTTTCCGAACATTTACAGATACACCTTACTGGTAAGTGTGGATAAACTGAATCTTTGTATCATTACACGCTGAACCCAATGCTTTAATGATACTGATGTAGGGCCAGAGAAATGTCACTAAGCCCTAGCCAAATCATCCGGCAGTTGGGTCATTGAATATCGAGCAAATCATCGATCCTCGTCAAGGTCAGGGACAACCAGCGCGCATTAGTTAATCGTATGCCATGGATTGGCCCATGCGGCAGTGGTCTCACTTTCGCTTGTATCTACTTTAACTAATATATTTCGGTAATAACGTCTTCTGTGTTGCACAGTCTTCAAAGCATCTATGGTACCTTGATACATCAATGGGGTAGTCCACGTAAGGTGCTGATCACGAGGTGTGACTTCAACGTTAGCTAATTTGTCACACCATTCATGTCTAACTCGGGTAGGCCTCCAATCATTTCGACATAGATCATCTACGTTGGTGATATACACTGAGTTACTAATCTTACTGGGAGAGTACTTAATATGGTTCATATTCCGAATCGTTATCACAGAAAATGCTGTTTATCTATTTTTCTCTCCCTCATATATATATATACACTGTTTCTGTATACGTTCAGAAAGCGGATGGAAAAGACTATCGACGTCAACTGTTACTCACCTAATTCTTGTCAGATACGTTACATAATAATATGTCACTTCAGTACAAAACGATGATACTTATAATGGATATAACTGTTTATGGCTATATATTAGCAAGGTATCTAATATTCGTAAATAATAAATAAGAACTTTCGTCTAAATTTGAACGAATAATTTCACAATATTTGGGCGCCGAGTTAATTTGAGACATTAAAAAGAAGAATATATTTGTAAAATCTCAGCGAATGAATTTTAAGTAAATCCAACGTTTCGCCTGGCAATCTGGTCCAAGCTTTTTCAAGGAAAATATAATCAAACAACAAAATTATCGAATATAAATAGGTATTTGTATTAATACAAATACCTATCTATAAAGAAATCCTTCACGTCGATTGGATGACTTATTCAGTGTACAGTAAACCGAAGAACCATGTACCTATTTATATTCGATAATTTTGTTGTTTGATTATATTTTCCTTGAAAAAGCTTGGACCAGATTGCCAGGCGAAACGTTGGATTTACTTAAAATTCATTCGCTGAGATTTTACAAATATATTCTTCTTTTTAATATTCGTAAATAGTTTAACTCTTAATTGATTCAACCTACATTTTATAAACAACTACCAACATCCATGTTCATCATCACCATAATCAAGGAGGTGAACCAGATGTAAAAGGTTTTAAAGCTTATTTTCCTTAAAACTCTATTTGTGATCTATTTTTGACTTGAAAAATAGTGAATTTACTTGCTTGAGTTTGTATTGTTACAAATAACCACATTAAGCTGACTAAACATTCACTTGGGTTGTGAGCAAAAAATACGTCAAACTACTATTAAACTGGAATGGAGGCTATGTAACAAGCACAAACATTACAAAAATTGACGTGTGACGGAAAAAATGCTGATAATAGCTGATAATAACGACACAAAAGTCCGCGACAATATGTAACATGTGCGCGAAAACCCCTGGCTTAACGGTTTTCCCGTCCCGTAAAATAGTTGTTTAAAGACGAATGACCTTCGATTTTTCCGTTTTCGCATTGTATCCTCCATAGCACTGATTATTGCTCACAAATACACTGTTACGCACATATGCCTTTTGTTCTCAATTACCTGTTGTTATGATAACAGAACTCTAATGTATTTGCTATCCACGTTTACAGATCACGATGATATCCTCATTATATGCTTTATCTGGATATGCATCTCAAACTATAACAATTGCGATTGGAATTATTAACTACTCATGATTGTGCAATGCTAGATCAAATAACATCGAACACGCCAATTCCTGACAATTTAAGTAACGTCCAGTATATTTTTCTTGTGTGTATAGATTATATTTAAAATATTAATACATTAATTTCTAGGCGTAATAACTTTATCATTATTTTTGGGATTGATATATTCTTGGTCCTCCAGAGAGTAACTAAATATAGACAGAAATAGAGTGAGGTTTCAGTCATCTTAGAAGTGTTATCTTCGTAAATACTTCGGTGAAAAGACATTAGGATGGGATGAATGCGTGAAAATCATTGGAGCTCTGGTAAGTCTTCTAAATGAACGGCCGATCCAACTTTCTAGACGCTTCTAATAAAATCAGGCTAAATCTACACGACAACTTGAACACATGAGAAAATGTGCGAAGTACGAAAAGAATGCTTAATTCCAAGGTTACGTTATGTAAATATCCAGTCCGAAACATGACACGTGACTCTTTACCTTCTAGATGTTTTTCAGAAGCTTCTATTCCATGAAGGCTGGATAAAGTATTTTCCAGGGTTTTCTGGGATCTCATAAACTTTTCCGAGCAATTCTTTGGAACTCTCCAATATCACAATAGGTACAACTTGGTTTTAAAAAAGAACCATTTGACTTCGGAATCAAATATGAAATTCTGTTTTGGCTATTATTTTAATTTCGCTTTTCGTAATAGATAAGTTCAATTTCTCAGTTTCTACTTTTTTTTTACATAGAATAGTTATTTGTGTTTATCTGAATAATATTTACAAGATCTTATCAGGGGTCCTAAGAGTCCATGATTTTTCGAAAAACAAATGGTTTTTTAATCAAAATGAAAATAAAATAATTTATAGAAATATTATTAGATTAAATTTATTCTTACTATTGAACAATTATTTTAATTAGGATATTAAAACAATCGTTTACTTTTTAATACAAACCCAAATGGATTCCTACTTCAATGACATCTTACTTATCTAGTTTACGATATAATTCTTTTGTTCACATTATGTTTATTGTGGTCATCATATTAATCATCATTTCAGATATCATGCATTACTATCTTTCCTATATTCTTTTTAAAATGTATTATTTTCTATTATAATTGTACAGTTTGATTTGAAGAACTTTAGAAACTATTGAAACATTCAGCTATGATTTTGTTTATCTGATAAACGACTTATGAAGTTACAAACATTTCAATAAATTAGCTATTTTACTTAAAAAAAATTAATCAGTTGACTTCAAGAATGTTGACTATATCTGTAATCAAGAGTTTCATTCTTAGAAGTGAAGTGATAAATAAATTAGGTATCCCAAAACCTACCACTCAAAACAAATGTGACCATGATTAACTAAGAGATGTGTTACTGTATTAGCTTGGGAATTACACATAAAATTCAGTAAAAGAAGTACAAGTCAATAAAAGTCTATTTCTGAGAAGTTGAAGAAAAAATAAAAAGTATTTCAATTCCTTATGATAATATTACGCGATAAATATGTCCTTCGTGTGATGAACTCTGTGAGTTTCAGAGGTTGACTACATCATGGTGCAGTGAAAGATTTTAAACGGTACAATGATGTAAAATATATGTTGCGTGGTATGGATTCCTAATCATCAATATGTAATTTTTTTTGGCATTTTTACTAATCAGAACACCAAAGAAAGGAAGTCTTTTGTTTATTTTCTTCCCCAATATATATGAGGTTTTGTTTGAAAACAGTTTGCCACTTTGTGATCTTTTTTTTAGTTCGCTTCGTCTTGTACTGGTTAACGTCTGACCTGAAGGTACTTTTCATACTGAGGGAGCTTGAATAGTAATGTTAGTGAGGAAATTTTGAAAGAAGAAAAACAAGAGGGGACGTAAGACAACGATTTAGTAAGTGCATATGATGTACTTAGAATTTGTACGTAGAGTTAATCAAATATAGGCCGAGTAATAAGTGGGAGATGTTGATGGGAGTGCGCTGTTGGTTGAGATTTGGCATAACTTTCTGAAGAAACAGATATACTATATTGATTGAAAATTCAGCTTAGTTTGCTGAGATGAACAGATACATATTTATGAATAAGTTGTGAATATATTTCTTAATGAGGTCAGTCAATATAAACTTCTTATTCACTCTTGATTCCCATAATGAAGTACTGAACTTGGATGACCGCAAAACACAATACCAGTTAATAATGCTAGCGATCGATAATAATTGGCAATACAACATGAGCGAGAATATAACAATCCGATAATCAAAACCAGAAGTCCTAGCATGAGACTTGAAATCCTTTAAACATCTTATCATTTGAAATGTGTCTTTTGGCTAGTGAACCTAGATTTTCAGTTAGATTATGGGCAAAACAAAAGCCTTCATTATTTGTATCACTATTTTTGTAATAATCTGGACGTTGTCAGTGCCAATTAATTTTCTCCTGTGTTTATCTATATGTTGTTATTAAGTTTGAAATATATTCATAAACACGACCTTATTAGCTCTGTAGTGACTCACGTTTATCACGAGAACACGACTGGTTTAATAAAAACAATTATTATTATAATCAACTGTGCCAGTGTTTGTTTTAATGTGCTTTTGTTTGTCTGTGCTAATGACAGCTATTTTGTGCTTCCATTCTTTTACTCACACTTTGATTGTAA